CCCCCCTTTTTTCTTCAGGAAATCCCTCCTTAGTTCCAGGTTGCTTCTCTCCTTTGGTTAAGTTTCCATCCGTCGCTTCTTGTCCTGCCTTTTGGGGGCTTTGGAGAACGGATTTGACCCCCTTTCTTGTTTTCCTTTGGGCAGGCAGTGGAGAAGATTCGGAAGATTGCGGTCACCATCAAGAAGACGGATCCAGCGTAAGTGGTTCTCGGTCTCTTTTGCGATTGTGTTTGTGGGAAGAACCGTTTCTGGAATGATGGGATGGATGAAATGCCCTGGATGGAGAGAGAGAGACACAGAGGGAAGAGAGAAAGAGACAGAAAGAGAGAGACACAGAGGGAGAGATAGAGAAGAGAGAAAGAGACAGGAGAGAGGTACAGAGGTAGAGGAGAGAGACAGACAGACAGAGACAGATAAAGAGGGAGAGAGACACAGACAGAAGAAAGAGAGAGATCCAGAGAGAGAGAGAGAGAGACAAATAGAGGGGCAGAGAAGGGGAGAGAGAGAGTGAAGAGAGAAAGAGACAGAAAGAGAGATACACAGAGAGAGAGAGAGAGAAGAGAGAGAGAGACAGGAGAGAGGTACAGAGATAGAGAGACAGACAGAGACAGATAAAGAGGGAGAGAGACAGACAGAAGAAAGATCCAGAGAGAGAGAGAGAGAGGGAGAGAGAGACAAATAGAGGGTAGAGAAGGAGAGAGAGACAGAGTGAAGAGAGAGGGAAGAGAGAAAGAGACAGAAAGAGATACACAGAAGGAGAGATAGAGAAGAGAGAAAGAGAGAGAGGAGAGAGGTACAGAGATAGAGAAGAGAGAGACAGACAGATAGAGACAGATAAAGAGGGAGAGAGACACAGACAGAGAAGAAAGAGAGAGATCCAGAGAGAGAGAGAGAGACAAATAGAGGGGCAAGAGAAGGAGAGAGAGAGAGGAGAGAGAAGGCCATAGTCTGTTTATATTACTGGAACAATCCCATATTGTGGCAGTGGGAAATCTTTTTAGGTCTGGCATTCCCAAAGTAATTCCTTCCTCTTGATTGATGGGAGAGATTTCCCTCCCTGCCTATTGCCGTTCTGCTTATTCCTCCCTTTAAGCTCCTCAGCATTGTGGGCTGGTCAGGGCAACAGGAGGGGGGCGGGGGGGAGACAGGACAGATGCCTCCTGCAGCATTTTGCTGGCCAAAACAGAGCCACGGGGTCCTTCGCTATTTCCAGGCTGGGCCCTTGGGGCCAGATTTAAGCACCACCCCTGCCCTAAAGTCTTATCAGCGGCCATGCAAACTGTCCCCTCTCCCTTTGGCTTCCTCCCCCCGTAGAGAGCTGAGTGGCCTGCTGGAGAAGTGCGCCAGCACCGCGTTAAGTTCCAAGCTGATTTCCCATCAGAAGGACTTCTTTGCCAAGATGGTGGTGGACGCTGTCACGATGCTGGACGAGCTGCTGCAGATCAAAATGATTGGCATCAAAAAAGTGCAAGGTGGAGCTTTGGAGGTAGGCTTCTGGAGGGGGGGGGGATGTGTGGGGGGGGGAGGAGGAGGTTCCTGTTGGATGCCCACCTGCATTTCTGGATAAGGAAGTGAAATGTCCGAAAACGTTTCCGCAGCCAGCATGATGTCACCGAGCGCCGTTCACTCCTCACAAGAGTGGTACCTATTTATCTACTCGCGTTTGCATGCTTTTGAAGAGTGGCGCAGTAACCTAGAGATGGAGCTCTTCCCCTCACAATCAGGAGAGGCTGTGAGTTCGATCCTAGGTAGAAGTACATATTTCTCTCTCTGGGCACAATGAGAATATATTTGCTGGGGAAGAAACCTCTGCATTGGTGACAGGAAGGGCATCTGGCCAGTAAACACTCAGCTCTGTTCAGTTGCCCAAACTCCACCTCACAAAGCGATTATGGTGTCATTAAAAGAAGATGATTGATTTTCATGCTTTCGAACCGCTAGATTGGCAGGAGCTGAGGCTAGGACGGGAACTCAACCATTGCGTGGCGCTCGGGTCTCCAACCTGGGCTGCCGGCTTTCCAGTTGACAAGCTCAGTATCTTTAACCACTGAGTCATGGTGCCCCACCCCCAAATAGGCTAGTAGATCGAAAGGTAAAGATTTCCTGGTCAGTCGTGTCCGATTCTAGAGGTCGTTGCTCACCTCTGTTTCAAGGCCATTGAGCCAGCACTGTCCGAAGACATTTCTGTGGTCGTGTGGCCAGCATGACATCACGGAGTGCCGTTAACTTTCCACTGGAGTGGTACCTATTGATCTACTCACATTTGCATGCTTTCAAACCGCTAGGCCGTGTGAGGAACGGCAGGACTTGCCCAGTTGTTCTCAGAAGCTCCACCCTGAGCCATTTTTTCTTTTTCTTTATTTCTTCTTTTGCAGAATTCCCAGCTGGTGGCTGGCGTGGCCTTCAAGAAAACCTTCTCCTATGCCGGCTTTGAGATGCAGCCAAAGAAGTACGAGTCGCCCAAGATCGCCCTGCTCAACATTGAGTTGGAGCTCAAAGCCGAGAAGGACAACGCCGAAGTCAGAGTCCAGAATGTGGCGGTGAGGCCTGGGCTCTTCTTAAAGGGGTGGAGTTGCAGTTATTTAGTTAGTGACACGGTTGTTAAGTGAACCTGGCTTCTCCTGTTCACTTCGCTCGTCAGAAGGTCGCAAGAGGGAATCCCGTGACCTCCCCAGCGTCACTGCGACCGTCACAAATATGAGTTAGTTGACCAAGCCTTTGAAGTTTGATCACCTGACTGGGGAAAGCTGCAGTGGTCGTAAGTGTGAGAAACGGTCGTAAGTCCCTTTTTTCCAGCACTGTCGTAACTTCGAACGGTCACTAAACGGTTGGTAGTCAAGGGCTACATGATATCACTTGATATTGACATATCAATTAACCACCTTTTCTTCCTTTCAACCACAGTTAAATCTGTTGTTGTAATGTGTTGTTCCTCTTGTCATATAATATATGACTAAATAAACGCATACAAAATTATGCATATACTCACATATAATATATGTGGGTATATGTTCTGACCAAGGCTTATGGAGACACTTAACAAACATGTTAGTCCCCAAACCCTTATTTCAATGGCTGTGAATTTTAGTCATTCACAGCCTGCAATGAGTCTCACACTGTAAATAATCCCACGGAAGTCTGCCAAAGTCCTTTGGGATAAGTCTGATAAGCACCCACCTTTATCTCCCTTGAAATGCTGTCAGTGACTAAATTTCCAATTAGTTATACGAGGCCAAACGGAGCACAAATTCAACACCGAGCTTTAGGTTTCAAACCAACCAGTATGAAAAAAGTTGCTTCCTGCAAAGGCTCCTGTCCCTTTGCTTTTCCTTTATGTCTTATGGGAGGGGCCAATCACCTCCAAGCCTTACTCCCAAATCACCCCTTTTGTCTAAACTGCTCTTGCCTTCTGGCAGCTCTGTGCATGCGCACGCTGGGAACAGGCTCCCCGTGTTCCTCTGCCTTGCTGCTGTCAGATTCTGGAGGCTCCGTAGTCAGCACATCATTCCCAGATGGCCCTGGCCCCATCACTGTGTCGGACGCAGGACCCTTATCCGAGTCCTCCCCAGACTCCCGGACTGGCCCATGTTCCTCCCCACTGTTGACTCTGCTGCCGTCTCCGCAGGCTGCCGATGGACCACAGCAGTATATGCATAATTTATATTGAATTTATATTGAATTTATAGTATGTATTGGAGGCGACGATCCTTTGAGATCTGTAGGCAAGCTACTTTCATTTTAACATACGCCGATTAGTGGACATTCCAAGTGACAATCGAGTTATTTTAATTCTAATCTGAGTTGATCTAATCTGCAGTGGTGTAGGGTTTCCTGCCTAAGCAGGGGGTTGGACTAGAAGACCTCCAAGGTCCCTCCCAACTCTTGTCTGTTCTATTGTGTTTCTAATCTGGGTGTGTATTACACGCCCCAAACTTTCCTTAGGTTCATTGTGGTCCATAATGCTTCTGGTCCCACAGGATTATCAGGCCATCGTGGACGCCGAGTGGAACATCTTGTACGACAAACTAGACAAGCTCAGCAAATCCGGAGCCAAAGTCATCCTCTCTAAACTGCCCATCGGGGACGTGGCTACTCAGTACTTTGCGGACAGGGACATGTTCTGTGCTGGACGGGTCCCCGAAGAAGACCTGAAGAGGACCATGATGGTAAGGCCCCTTTCCCTTGGGCTCTCCAGGGTCCCCATGGGCCGAGGCCGAGGTGGTTATTCAGCCGGTTTGGACCGGTTCTTGAGAACCGGTAGCGGAAATGTTGAGTCGTTCGGAGAACCGGCCAATCCCACAGTCTCCCACAGTCCTCCCCCTCTTCCTCCCTGCAAATCTCACTCCTTACTAGCACTGATGATGTTACCTAGTTTGGGTAATAAAACATCTGCAGGAAAACCAGCAAGCTCAGAGAGCACCAAGGTTTCCTCCTCCTCTTCCTCCTCCTCCTCCTCCTCTTCTCTGCAACACCCCTTCCCTTTTAGCACTGATGATGTTCCCTAGTTGGGTCATGAAATGTCTGCAAGAAAACAGGCTCAGAGAGCACCAAGGACCCCACAGATCTTCTTCTCCTCCTCCTCCTCCTCTTCCTCCTCCTCTTCCTCCTCCTCCCTGCAAACCCTTCTCCCTTCTAGCACTGAGGATGTTACCTAATTGGGTCATGAAACATCTGCAAGAAAACCACCCAGCTCAGAGAGCACCAAGGACCCCCACAGTTCAACCCTGAGCTAAAAATATTCCCTTCTGTTGGTACAGGTGTGACTGTTAGGGGGAGAAAAAAAAACAGCCCCATCTAGCGGTGGGAATCTCAGGTGGGCTCCTGAATTACTTGTGTCCATGTTGTCCCTGTTGCACTTAAAAGGGTCTGTTTTGCATGGCAGGCCTGCGGTGGATCTATTCAGACCAGCGCCAACGCTCTCACGGACGACGTCCTCGGATGCTGCGACCTCTTTGAAGAGGCCCAGATTGGAGGGGAGAGGTAAGGGGCGG